GTTGGGGTGTAAATTTACTCCCCAAAACGCCCAATTTGGGGTGTAAATTTACTCCCCCAGGTTTGGGGGAGTAAATTAATTTACACCCCCGTGGGGGTGTAAATTGGTTCGGGGTGTAAATTTACACCCATTGGATCTATCAGGTTGGAGATCTCATCGAGGTGTGGGGGCTGTCGTTGTGGGAGACCGCCAGGCGGGACTTTCTGGAGGAGCTGGGCGAGTACTTCATGTTGCTGCATTGCTTGGTTCGCGATGTGCGTCGCAGAGTCTATTCGCAGAGTCTATGACGCACTGCCATGGCGGATCACATTGCCTCAGTTGACAGCGGTCATACATGCATGCATGGTTAGGAGCTCCGCCCCAGGCCGTCTTCGCAATCGCCGACCAATCCCATGCCGCTCCAGATCTACGAGACCGCTTTTTCCGAACCAGATCTCTCTCGCCGCACAGCGGCCCCCTCTCGGGGAGCCGGCCCACTGCGATGGCAGAAGAGCTTCTGCAGCAGTTCACTTTTTCCACGGAAGCTGGTGCATTTTCGATTCCCCAGGCCATTCTTGACCGGGATCGCACAGTCTCACCCGACTCTGTGGACGACTCGCAGCCAGCGCAGGCATATATGCATTCGCAGCTTGTCACATGCGACATAGATGGTCATTGCCCTCAGCCGCTGCCTGCCCCCGCGTCTGCCCTTAAGTGCCACCAGCAGCTGCCGGAGCCGACCCCCCCCCCCGTAGCCAGAGAGTTGGGAAAGAGGGAGGAGCCACCGACGAGACCCGGAGCCGCCCCCCCCCGAACTAGCCCAAAAAGGTTTCCGGTCTCCTGGGAAAACCTAGCCTGTCTCTCTCTTCTATCTGGCTGCGGACGCTGCCAGGTGCAGACGCTCTCCCTCTTTTGCATCTAGCCGTGCGTTCTGGCTCTATCCACGGGCTAGGGTCCCTTGCGGCCTCTGCCTGCCCCTTTAGCCGCTCTGTTAGCCGGGCCAGGTCGGCAGTCATTGCACGTATGACCTCTATCCCCGTCGTATCCAGGCAATGCCACATCCTTTTGTTGCATTGCTCTAGCCCGCAATCGTCACATTGGACGATGCATCGATAGATAGCCCCGGCCGCGTCCCAGCGGCCCACCCCAGGGGTGACACTGCCGGGACGGCATCAGATGGCGATTTCATCGCGGTTAGCAACAAGTCGGATAGTGCCCGAGGCCTTGTGGATAGAATCCCCGACCAGGGCTGGATAAGGTAGATCATATAGCCAAGCAAGGTCGTGTATCCCTCCCTTGTGGATTGTCGTCCTCTATCCGGCATGGATTCTATCCTGGCGGCCCCCCTTCTCATCCAAGTCTGATCTATCATGCCCCCCTCCGGCCCCTAGCTTAGCCTGACTAGCCATCGCGGAAGGTGCCATTAGCCCATACCTCAAACTCTTGGTGTGGCAGCTGGCTGGACGGCCTGGAGGGCCGCCCTCTCCGGCGCCATCGCCTCCCATTGGGCCTCATTGTAGTGGCCGGGACCCTTGGTCTGCTGGACCGTCGGAGGGTCGCTATCCGGCTTGGCAGGCTTGCCAAACGCCTCTCCGGTGTCGGATCCTCGCCCGCTTCCTATCCCCCGCGCTGGCCTCCTCTGACCCTCTAGCCCGCTCCAGCATCTTAGATCTCCTGCAGCATATCCAGCCGAGCCGGCTTCCTCGCCGGTGTATTCTCGAGGTCGTCGCTCTGGGAGGGCTCCTCCTCTAGCGTCTGGCCGGGCCTGCCCGGCCAGCTCGCGATTCTTGGCTATCCTCTGCTCCAGGTACTGGGCCTCTCCTTGGCCGTCTGGTACTTCACTATCCTGGCAGAGAGCCTGTGTCCAGGTTGGACGCTAGCCCCTTCTTGCTACTCCACTAGCCGCATGTCCGGGCCAATGAGCTGCTTATGCAGGCTGAGCTGCTCCGACAGGCTGCCGGGTCGACTTCTAGCCATTCCTCCAGCATTCGGAGGATCTCTCTCCTAGCCTGCTCTGACTGGTCCGCCCAGTTGGTGGACCTATCCATGATGCCTCTAGCCAGCCGCAAGCGGCCCGTGCTCGCCCACCTAGCGTGGGCTCTCCTAAAAATCGGTGGGTCGTTAATCCACCCTTCTAGCCGGCAGTGGCCACGGCGGTTCCTTTTGTGCAATGCACTAGCCACACACAACACTTCAAGCGCCGCACATGTGCACATGCAGACTAGCCTGCCTCAGAACCTCGCAGCCTACGCTCTAGCCAGACACACAACAAGAAGCACGAGTGCAAGAACGTGGTTCTCTCCTCTCTCGCTCCTCTCTCCCCTTCTTTCTTCCCCCCGGCCAGCATAGCCTGCAAACATGCGTGTACTGGTCGGTCTCCGGCCTAGCCGAAAACTCTTGGGCGTTCTTAAATATCCGGCGGCGGCCCATCCAGCACCCGGCCTGGCCCCCCTTGTGTAGCCGAAACTTCTTACCTGGTAACTCTACTATTATGCAGCTAGTGCAGCTAGCCTTCTTAAGTAGCTGCCTCGGCCGGTTCCGTTCCGGTGTTGCTCCGGTCCCAACTCTGGCTCACTAGCCGAATCTTCGGGTCTTTCTTCGGGAGGCTCGCTCGCCACGACTTCTTCAGGTAGCCCCGGACCCGCCACAAGCTCGACGATCCGCTCGTTCGCCCACTCGCGCCGCAGCTCTCCTGAAAGTTTGTCGGCGTCGTGCTCGCTAGCCTTGCCCGTTCGGAGTAGCCAGCCACCAAGGTCGCCTGCTATCTCCCTCTCATCTAGCTGCTCCTCCCCATCTCAAACTCTCGCCGCCTCCGCATAAATGGCCTGGAGTCTAGCCACGCGGCCGCCATAGGAGCGGATGTAGGTATCCGAACCTTCGGGCTTCCACCTTCCCAGCATATCTCTATCCGGCGGGGGAATCGGCTTCAGGCTTAGCCCGGTGGGAAGCACGGCTCGTTCACTGTGCTCCGTAGCCCCTAGCCGGAGGGGAGGCCCATGTCTATATACACTCAGTCTCACCAGAGTTGCATTTGAAGTCCCAAGCGGTAAAAGGGATATTCGTGCTGGACCTTTTGCTTCACAGTTTCCATGAAGGAGTCCGCTTTGCGCTCCTTGAGGCCCTTAAAGCTTTCCAAGACATCAAGTTCTTTCAAGTAGGTCTGGAATCCTTTGCCCAGCAGCTTCAATCCTGGAAATTTCGCAATCCGCTCTTCCTGAGGCTCGAAGTTTCCGCTATCCAGGATCTTGAAACCAGAAACCTCCCCGTTGGGACCAAAACGAACGCCCCATTGCCAAGGTCCCACGTCTCTCGACTTCAGGCAGAACCGGCAGCAATGCAGCGTCATCGCGATCATGAACCAGGCATAGATGGGGCGCGGTTCAATCTTGTTCAAGGGAGTGTACCTGATACACTGAGGGAAGGCTCTATGTATATCAGGTATACACGGTTTGTGTCCTCGTGGTGGAGTGTAGGCCAAGGGACTAGACTGTGTCTGTATATATATACATATATATAAATGTATTAGTTAGTTTTCTCATGCATACCTCAGCACAGACGATGAAAATGTGGGAGGGGGAGGGTCAACAAGTGCAGTTTCCAAGGCTGGACAGGTAAATGTATATCTATATATATATATATGTATATATACACATATATTTTTGCATATATATATATATACATATATATACACATATTTATATATATATATATATATATCGCCATTTGCTTAGCATTATTGTTTCCCACGCAGTCCCGGCCTCTCCACCACGAGGCAAGAAACCGTGTAGGCTGGAGACTCTGTGGAGCACTTGTGAATTTCCTTGAAATACAACCGCAGGTTCATGACCCCATGCAGCCTTGGGAGCAATTGCACAATGGCGGACTCGCCGTGGGACAGCTCCAACTCTCTACCATGTCCAGCAATGTTCAGGGCGATCTTGACGACTGTGTTTTCCAACTCATCGCATGTGTAGACTGCCCTGTGAACTCCACAGTCTTTCTCACCACGTTTCAAGCTGAGTGTCCGAAGTGGCTTGCCTTGGATGGAAGGGGAGGAGCCCTCACCCACCTCGTCAAAATGCAGCTGCATGGAAGCAGGCAGCTGCTTGCAGCTTTGCAGCAACGCTGGGATCCAGGCAAAGCAGCAGGACCAAGCTTTCAGGCTGTATCCCTTGAGCAGCCGGCGGATGATCTCCGAAGGTTTGTAACGCTGGGCCGCTTCTTGCTCATCTGTCCTGGCGGCATCTCTGGCCTCAGCTTTTCTGTCCTCCTCCTCCGGGTCTTCCTCCTCCTCAAAATTTGTCCGGATACTGGATACTGTCGACAGGTACGGCCGTCTCGAGCGAGTCCCTTCCCCAATCAGGCTCGCAGTCGGGTTCCTCCTTTACCTCATGAGACTCCTCGGGACAGACGATGAAAATGTGGGAGGGGAGGGTCAGAGTCAACAAGTGCAGCTTTCATTTTGGAACCCCCCACGCCTCCAGCCTCGGCTTGCGGTACTTGCTCGTGGGCCGGCGGCTCTGCCTCTTCAGGGCAGAGCGGCTGCTCCTGCCCTTGCCGGTTCGCCATCGGTGCCACAAACAAAGCACAATTCAGGAGTGCAGCTGAGGTCCGGGCCAAGGTGAGCTGTCCATGCCGGCCGAGGTTCGGAGTTTAGGGTTTAGGGGTTTAAGGGTTAGGGTTCAGAGTTTATAGGGGGTTTAGGGGTTTAGTGGGGGTTAGGGGTTAGGGTTTAGGGACGGAGTGGGAGTACAGGAGCACGAGGGTTAGGGTTCAGAGTTTAGGGTTTAGGGGTTTAGTGGTTAGGGTTCAGAGTTTATAGGGGGTTTAGGGGTTAGGGTCTTTTGTCACACATGAATCCATATAGCCGTACTCCTGTGCCTCTGTTCCGAAGCTTTCATAACTACTGCTGCGACTGCTACTGTTATAAAACTCTGAACCCTAATCACGCACAAGCATTCCTGTTTTTGTTGCCACGGATCGTCCGCCATCGCAGGGGCTGTGAGCGCGGATTGGGCGCACTACGACACTCCCTTGCCTCTCACGCTAAGATAGCCGTAGTCCTTTGCCTCTGAAAGACTGCCAAACTCCCAACCGTCAGGCGACACGTACCCGTAGGTATTCTTTGTGTAGCGCCGCAGGATCCAATCGCCAACGGCTTCTTCTCCAAGAAGATCCAGCCCTGCATCCTTCTCCTCGGCCTTCTCCTTGGGCTGGGCACTTTCCGCCAACAATCTGTCCTTTGTCGCCAGAACCTCCGAGACGGACTCACCGTCCCTCAGCATCTTCAGGAGCTGTCCGGCGATTTCCGTGTTCTGTTCGAACGTGGCCCCCTTGCGCTTCACCTGGAATTGATGCTGTTCATGTTTTTGGGGATCACGACTATAGAAAAGGCAAAGGGTGTGTGTTTTCAACTCTGAGCCTGCAGAACCTGATGCTTTTGATGTTTTTGGGGATCACGACTATAGAAAAGGCAAAGGGTGTGTGTTTTCAACTCTGAGCCTGCAGAACCTCATGCTTTTGATGTTTTTGGGGATCACGACTATAGAAAAGGCAACGGGTGTGTGTTTTCAACTCTGAGCCTGCAGGACCTGCTTCACCTTGCTGCCAGTGCCGGCCACGATGGCCATGGCCCCTTCCTTCTTGTAGGGCTTGAATCTGAAGGCACCGCGGGCAGGTTCCTTCTTCTCGTCGTTCTTCCCATTCTTCTTGTTGTTCTTCCCATTCTTCTTGTTGTTCTTCCCATTCTTCTTGGCCTTGCCAGGCTCGATCTTCTGTGGGTCCTCCTTTTCCTGCGGCTTGGCATTGACCTTGGGCTTGGCTTTCTTCTTCACTTCCAAGAACGAAGGTCGATGAGCGATTGCAACAGCCAGCAGCTCTTGGTCGGACCGCTCTGTGGACGCCTGGGGTGGGGACTCGAAGCTCAGGCGGCCGGGAGAGACAGCGGAAAGCCCGACCGATCCTGCACTAGGGGAGGAGTCCTCAACCCTCTCTGCATCCCTTGCTCGTCCTCCTGACGGGGGCCCCGAATAGAAGGCATATGGAACGTGACCTATAGGAAGGCTTTTGGGGGGTGTTCGGGCCCCCAAAATTTGTCCAAACTTCAGGCTGCCACCAGAAGGGTCCAAAAGTCATACGCCTTCCTTTCGCTCCGGGATGAAATTTCGGGGCTCCTTCTGGAAACAAACAAACCTTAACTTGAATAAACCCCAACATGCACTATCCTAAACTCGGCCTAAACCTCGTAAGAACAAAAACGCCCAGTGTTCACGGTTCCCAACACCCTAAACCGTTACACCCAGAAGCCCCCGAACCCTTGCACACACTCCCCCCGCAACACCCACGTATGCCTTCCTTTCGCTCCGGGATGAAGTTTCGGGGCTTCTAAGGGAAACAAACCTTAACTTACATAAACCCCCACGTGCAATATCCTAAACTTGGCCTAAACCTCGTAAGAACAAAAACGCCCAGTGTTCACGGTTCCCAACACCCTAAACCGTTACACCCAGAAGCCCCCGAACCCTTGCACACACTCCCCCCGCAACACCCACGTATGCCTTCCTTTCGCTCCGGGATGAAGTTTCGGGGCTTCTAAGGGAAACAAACCTTAACTTACATAAACCCCCACGTGCAATATCCTAAACTTGGCCTAAACCTCGTAAGAACAAAAACGCCCAGTGTTCACGGTTCCCAACACCCTAAACCGTTACACCCAGAAACCCCCGAACCCTTACACACACTCCCTTCAATGCCCACGTATGCCTTCCTTTCGCTCCGGGATGAAGTTTCGGTGCTTCTTCTGGAAACAGACGAACCTGAACTATATAAACCCCAACATGCAATATCCTAAACTTGGCCTAAACCTCGTAAGAACAAAAACGCCCAGTGTTCACGGTTCCCAACACCCTAAACCGTTACACCCAGAAACCCCCGAACCCTTACACACACTCCCCCCCCAACGCCCACGTATGCCTTCCTCTCGCTCCGGGATGAAGTTTCGGGGCTTCTTTTGGAAACAAACCTTATTAGCTGATATAAACCCCCACGTGCAATATCCTAAACTTGGCCTAAACCTCGTAAGAACAAAAACGCCCAGTGTTCACGGTTCCCAATACCTTAAACCACCAAAGCATTGCACCCAGAAACCCCCGAACCCTTACACACACTCCCCCCCCAACGCCCACGTATGCCTTCCTTTCGCTCCGGGATGAAGTTTCGGGGCTTCTTCTGGAAACAGACGAACCTGAACTATATAAACCCCAACATGCAATATCCTAAACTTGGCCTCAACCTCGTAAGAACAAAAACGCCCAGTTTTCACGGTTCCCAACACCCTAAACCACCAAAGCGTTACACCCAGAAACCCCCGAACCCTTGCACACACTCCCCCCCAACGCCCACGTATGCCGTCCTTTCGCTCCGGGATGAAGTTTCGGGGCTTCTTTTGGAAACAAACCTTAACTGATACAAACCCCCACGTGCAATATCCTAAACTTGGCCTAAACCTCGTAAGAACAAAAACGCCCAGTGTTCACGGTTCCCAACACCCTAAACCGTTCCACCCAGAAACCCCCGAACCCTTGCACACACTCCCCCACAACGCCCACGTATGCCTTCCTTTCGCTCCGGGATGAAGTTTCGGGGCTTCTTCTGGAAACAGACGAACCTGAACTATATAAACCCCAACATGCAATATCCTAAACTTGTCCTCAACCTCGTAAGAACAAAAACGCCCAGTGTTCACGGTTCCCAACACCCTAAACCACCAACGCGTTACACCCAGAAACCCCCGAACCCTTGCACACACTCCCCCCCAACGCCCACGTGTGCCTTCCTTTCGCTCCGGGATGAAGTTTCGGGGCTTCTTTTGGAAACAAACCTTAACTGATATAAACCCCCACGTGCAATATCCTAAACTTGGCCTAAACCTCGTAAGAACAAAAACGCCCAGTGTTCACGGTTCCCAATACCCTAAACCACCAAAGCATTGCACCCAGAAACCCCCGAACCCTTACACACACTCCCCCGCAACGCCCACGTACGCCTTCCTTTCGCTCCGGGATGAAGTTTCGGGGCTTCTTTTGGAAACAAACCTTAACTGATATAAACCCCCACGTGCAATATCCTAAACTTGGCCTAAACCTCGTAAGAACAAAAACGCCCAGTGTTCACGGTTCCCAATACCCTAAACCACCAAAGCATTGCACCCAGAAACCCCCGAACCCTTACACGCACTCCCCCCCCAACGCCCACGTATGCCTTCCTTTCGCTCCGGGATGAAGTTTCGGGGCTTCTTCTGGAAACAAACAAACCTTAACTTACATAAATCCCCGCGCACAATATCCTAAACTTGGCCTAAACCTCGTAAGAACAAGAACGCCCAGTGTTCACGGTTCCCAATACCCTAAACCACCAAAGCGTTCCACCCAGAAACCCCCGAACCCTTGCACACACTCTGCCCCAACGCCCACGTATGCCTTCCTTTCGCTCCGGGATGAAGTTTGGGGGCTTCTTCTGGAGACAGACAAATCTTAACTTGCATAAACCCCAACGTGCAATATCCTAAACTTGGCCTAAACCTCGTACGAACAAAAACGCCCAGTGTTCACGGTTCCCGACACCCTAAACCACCAAAGCGTTGTAGCCAGAAACCCACCAGAAACCCAAACACCCAAACCCAGAAGCCTTGAACAGCAAGGCCAATTAATACTCCTAAACCGTGAACGCAGAAACCCCGAACCCAAAAGCCCTGAACCCAGAAACTGGATACCCCCACACCCTGAAAAAGCCTGAAACCCTGCATCCAGAAATCCTGCACACAGAACCTCCAAAACTAGAAACTCGACACCCCTAAGCAACCTAGACACCCTGAACTTAGGGGTGTTGGCTGGCAAGCATTCGGCATAGACCCTGCAGCAGGCTTCAGACTTCCAGAGATGCCTGCAAGCAAACCCGCTATTCTCGAGCCGGGAACGGGGTTCTGCTTGGCAGATGTGTTGCATTGCTCCAAGCACGGGTGCACTGGGCCCGCCGTCCGCGCCTCATTTAAAGCAAAGCTGTGAGCGCAGCTGCTCGGCGGAAATATACAGGGACACCCTAAACCCTTCTAAGCTTCCATCCCAAAGGTTTTAAGGGCGGGCCTGCGTTTCGGGATTTAAGGTTTCTAAGTTCAGGGTGTCTAGGTTGCTTAGGGGTGTCGAGTTTCTAGTTTTGGGGGTTCTGTGTGCAGGATTTCTGGATGCAGGGTTTCGGGCTTTTTCAGGGTGTGGGGGTATCCAGTTTCTGGGTTCAGGGCATTTGGGTTCGGGGTTTCTGCATTCAGGGTTTAGGAATATTAAGGCCTTGCTGTTCAAGGCTTCTGGGTTCGGGTGTTTGGGTTTCTGGTGGGTTTCTGGCTGTAACGCTTTGGTGGTTTAGGGTGTTGGGAACCGTGAACACTGGGCATTTTTGTTCTTACGAGGTTTAGGCCAAGTTTAGGATATTGCACGTGGGGGTTTATATCAGCTAACAAGGTTTGTTTCCAAAAGAAGCCCCGAAACTTCATCCCGGAGCGAAAGGAAAACACACGTGGGCGTTGGGGGAAGTGTGTGCAAGGGTTTCGAGGGTTTCTGGATGGAACGCTTTGGTGGTTTAGGGTGTTGGGAACCGTGAACATTGGGCATTTTTGTTCTTACGAGGTTTAGGCCCAGTTTAGGATATTGCACGCGGGGGTTTGTGTAAGTTAAGGTTTGTTTGTTTCCAGAAGAAGCCCCGAAACTTCATCCCGGAGCGAAAGGAAGGCATATGTGGGCGTTGTCGGGGGAGTGTGTGCGAGGGTTCGGGGGCTTCCGGGCGCAATGCTTTGGTGGTTTAGGGTATTGGGAACCGTGAACACTGGGCGTTTTTGTTCTTACGAGGTTTAGGCCAAGTTTAGGATATTGCACGTGGGGGTTTACATCAGTTAATAAGGTTTGTTTCCAAAAGAAGCCCCGAAACTTCATCCCGGAGCGAAAGGAAGGCATACGTGGGCGTTGGGGGGGAGTGTGTGTAAGGGTTCGGGCCCGGGGGTTTCTGGGTGCACTGCTTTGGTGGTGTAGGGTATTGGGAACCGTGAACACTGGGCGTTTTTGTTCTTACGAGGTTTAAGCCAAGTTTAGGATGTTGCACGTGGGGGTTTATATCAGGTAAGGTTTGTTTCCAAAAGAAGCCCCGAAAATTCATCCCGCAGCGAAAGGAAGGCATACGTGGGCGTTGGGGGGGAGTGTGTGCAAGGGTTCGGGGGTTTCTGGGTGTAACGCTTTGGTGGTTTAGGGTGTTGGGAACCGTGAACACTGGGCGTTTTTGTTCTTACGAGGTTTAGGCTAAGTTTAGGATATTGCATGTTGGGGTTTATATAGTTCAGGTTCGTCTGTTTCCAAAAGAAGCCCCGAAACTTCATCCCGGAGCGAAAGGAAGGCATACGTGGGCGTCGGGGGGGAGTGTGCAGGTGTTCGGGGGTTTTTGGGTGGAGCGGTTTAGGGTGTTGGGAACCGTGAACACTGGGCGTTTTTGTTCTTACGAGGTTTAGGCCAAGTTTAGGAAATTGCACGTGGGGGATTATATCAGTTTAGGATTGTTTCCAAAAGAAGCCCCGAAACTTCGTGGGCGTTGG